ATTAGCTCATTCGCAATATGTAATTTGAAATTTCCTAAAACGTAACGCTGTACCATGTGCATTGTGACATTTCATGTTAAACTATCAGATTATCATTTTTTCATAACTTTATTTGGGTTTCAAGTAGTTTTTGTTTCTTTTAAAACAAAGTACAGTCAAGACGCAGCTTACATAATTTGTTTACGATGACAGAATTTCTCCCATGATGAACAAGCTGGGTGTAGTCTGTTAAAAGTATAATACCGTTGCTATACTGCGAACTTCACTTGATAAGTGGATCTCTACACCTGCCGAGTGGTATTTTTTTGACGGACTGATTATTGTTTTATACTGATCAGTGCAAAAATTTATCAACGTTCTTGATAATTTTGTTCTAAGCATATACAAGCTCACAAGCATAATCTATATATAAAATGATTTTGATTTGTGAGTGACACAGGGCACTTACAAGTTACGACCAATATACGAGTATATATTGCTATATTGTAAGTTCACAGGGGATTCGACAGTTAGAAAAATATTTAGGTGATTGTGCACACAGATATTTCGGCTACTTTATGCAAGTGCAAAATCCTGCTGGTTTTAAAAATTCCAAAAACCAAAAAGCCGGTGCTTTTAAAACTTCAAGTGTACAACATATAGATTTTAGAGGTGTATGCTAAATATGTTCCATAAATATGGTGTTTCATAAATATCCATACTTTCTGTTACGAAGTACGGAAGGGATGGAATGTACAATTGTAGTTTGGACTAGTCCTTGTTACAATACAGTAAGTCGATTGCATAATAATTTATTATATTATGCAGGTGAGCTGCACAATACTTTTTGCCATGCGGCCCATGCCTTTAAACACCCAAATGCTCGGGTCTAGTGCAATCTGCCTTTGCACTTGCGCCTTTATTTTTCCTACAACGTCATGCCGATGAGTTGGGAAAATGTTTAATATTCTGTGTGACTGAAAACTTTTTTCATAAAATTTAATGTAAAATTGTGAAAGTTGGTTTTCAAAAACACAGTAAATTTTATTGGATTTAATCTCTATCAGACCAGCGCGCATCAGCCGCGTGAAACGCAAGCAGCACATTACATTAATTACTTAGCGTCCTAGGTAAGATTACAAGTGCTCTATCATAGCACTACGACAAGGAAAGGCGTTCTTTGTAAGGTTTGACGAGGTTATTAACGTTAATAATTTCATCTGTACTTTTACGCTGCTGCTGCGGTAGAGGTTCTACATACTCGTATGTACGGTCAAACCTATTATAGAATATTATTGTGTTGTATTTCGTGGCCGCACGGAATCGCGCAGAACAATCACGATCACACAGAAATTCCGTACCGCAAAAGGTTCGTTTGCGTTCGCGAACAGCCAGGTGCAACAGTGAAACAGTACGTGCATGATGCATGAATATCTGGGTATCGTTGTAGAGTGTACACAGATTTCCATGGTCTTCGCCTATACTATTGGGTTTACGTTGACAGTGATCCCGTAATCGTTTGTCCATAATCACCTTCATAAGTCTGCAACGGCGTTTTCGGATTTCTCGTTGTTTGTCAATCACGTTAACCATTATGTTGACTTTATTGCACTCTGGAATATCCGGTGCTTTATATTTTTCTGGCATTATTTGGCCATGCCATGGCTGCAGGATACAATGTGCAATTAAAGTAGCCCACGTACAGATAGCGCACACGCAATCTCGTTCCGGAAACGGTGTATAATCACCGAGTTTACACTGGACCGAGCATTATAACAGCGTCCGCCGTCGTAAAAGTATGGCTTCCGAGCTGATGAAATTGTTCAGGAAAGATGTTATCAAGCTGTCGTGGAGGCTTATTTTTGTGATAATGTGCAAACCTCTTTTTATATCACTCACGCGAATGAACTAAGGTCAGACTGCAGCTAATTTATATACATCCAAGGTTTATCTGGCAGATCACTCCGGTTGTATACATGCAGTCGGCAACATAATATTTTTATCAACAGATGTGCGTTTCTTTGAAGCGGTAAAATGTTCCAGAACGCATAAAATTTAAATCCACCCCCTTGACACTTTCCGATTTGATATAGTGTTACATGCATGTGGAAACCTCTTATTACATCATTTTACTTTCCATTTCATTCACCACATTACCCTTTTAAATTGCTGGTGTATTGATGAAATCCAGTCAATCGTGAGAAACGATAATCTTTTCACGGATTTCTACAGAATATGAATCAACTGCATACAAGCAAGTTGAAGCAACCCATATAACTATCGTTCGTTGGCGGTGTTAATGTTCTAAATATATATGCCATTATTCTAGCGTTCGGCTTGCTACATTATCCTTGGTTGATAATTAAATCTCAACCGCCGCTTATGTTCTGCAGTTGCGCTATTTGGAATCTAATAGAGTATAAACACAGTTCGGAGCGCCTATAAGGTCGATATCAGCTTCTCCCACTTTTGAAACATGCAGCGTTTGGCCAAGCTGCATCGGAAGGATGTTAAGAGTTCCAGTTTTGAATCAACATTTTTGATTACGCAAAATCGCGCGTCGAAAAGGTAATGTGGAGTCGGTAATTCCAATTAGGTGTTTATAACATTGTGTCGTTAATGTTTGTACTTTGTACATACGCTGTTCAGTCGAATACGACGGTCGTAATAATCGACATTTTGCACAGCGGCGGTGTCTTCCCAAGATACACATGCTACAGTGTACTTCCAGATTGATCTTGGTCCCTTGGACAATATTTAATACACATTGCGATCCGTTCACGATAATATAATAATCTTGCTTGACAAGCAAGATTATTATAGTATTGTTCTATACTATAATAATGCTCCATAGAGTTGTTCCTGTAGCATCAAAATTTGCCGAGGACAAAATTTTGTTATAAATTATAATAATGTGATGGAATTGTTTGGGTAATCTGTATGGTGCTGATCCATGAATAGAGTTTTTTAAGGGTGTCATTTTTGTTTTGGCTTGTTTTGATTAACATAAATGAAATTTCACACGACCGGGTTCTACCGAAGTTATTTTGTTTTGACTTCGAAAGACTATATTATCGATACAATCGTAAAACTCTCCAAAATTTTCTGCCGCTCGATTGCTAATCTGGAATCTAGATAACAAAATGGCACCCAGATTCCAAACGGTCTGACAGTTAATGGAAATCGTCTAATGCCGCTGGTGTATCGCGAGGCACTTATGCCAATTCCAAAACACTGCTGCAATTCAATATGCAATTCCGAAGAAATTGTATGTGACAGCACAGACATACCCGTTTATCTCAGCGATGTCTGTTGAAAAATTAAATTGCGGTTTTCCGATTTGCGCTTTTTGACAAGTGTTCATGGGCGAGAAACTTATGATGTACAATTTTTTACGATACTAAACATGTGGTGGTTATTTATCTTGCGGCAGAGATCGGCAAGAATTGTTTCGGCTGGAAATGACCCGGAAAATGTCATGGTCACATCAACTGTGCATTGTCTCAGTTTTCGTGTTGCCGACTAATATTATGTGCTGCGCATCGGTTATTCGCGGCGTGCCTACAGTTGTTAGCATGGTCATCAATATTGAAAAACGGTTGGAAATAATAATTTGGAATTGAGTTGTCATTCGAAGATGTCTGCACACTGTATGCAACAATCAGACAGTTTTCATTAATTTCAATATTGCTGTCAACAGCAAATATTCCGACGAACTATATAGAACCATTATCCCAATGATTTATGCTACAACGCTGCAAACTCAGCGTAGGATTAGGTACGTGCATGAGCTTCGTGATTGTATTCTATACATTTTACTGCCATTACGATTTATATTTGTTTACGTAGAAATATGCTAACTAATACTAACATCACAAGCCGCCGCAAAAAGTGCATTACACTTACCAGTTCATTCAGTTTGTATATCAGGTGATGATGCAAGTAAAGCCACTTTTTAAACGCAACAGCGATATAATATTACTATTAACTGTATGCTAGTGTATAGCCTCGTGGTTACGCTGTACGTAAAAGATAACATGTCATCCAAAGCTTTGGAAAAAATTGCTATGCGATCTGGACTACATTTGCGCTGTTACTCTTATTGTAAATCTTCGATTTATTGTCTCAAAAAAGCTGCAGCACATGCAGCGTCTTCTTGTGTACTTCGGCAATACATATGAACAGTGCATGCGCAGAAAACTGCTCGAAAAGATTGCTCATTTTCAGTTAACGATTCAATCAGAATTTATACGATCATCCACTAGGCATCTAACAATAAATACTGTGTTGATGGTCACTGGCCAGTACGTACGCGTATCGTACCATATTGTAATGTAAATTGTAATACATTTTCTGTTTGCGATTCCGCATACGTCTTATGCAGCGCGGCAAATGTCCCCCGTTCACAATCTCGAGCATTTTACTCTGACATAGGCCAGTATTTTAGGCCAGGTTCAGTAATATAACATGAAATAATATAAGACCGACCACGTATATTCCTTAAAAAGTCGATAGTTTTCTTTCGGCATGGCATTGGCCAGTGAGGATAGTTTATATAGTTTGTGCTATATACTATATATATGTACTCTCCAATTTGTATTTTCCAAAATACTTCGTATTGACTATCGATTTACCTTGGTACATGCTTATTGTTTAAGATTTGCTATAGATTCCAATTACTTAAATTTGCTATAGATTCCAATTATTTATTCTCCAATTTGTATTTTCCAAAACACTTTGTATTGACTACCGATTTACCTTGGTACATGCTTAGCCAGTGCCGCTCTACAGTAGTATAGGCTTCGCCAGATGCCTATACTACTGTAGAGCGGCACTGGCTTAGTTTATTGTTTGATTTGCTTATTGTTAACTAAGATTTGCTATAGTATCCTAGCCGAGAAATGAGAAGAACTGTTCGTCGTGCACTGCTGTGCCAAAACATCTAATTGTAAAATGCGCCTTTCCCATGTGATGAGATTACTTATAGCCTATCGCCTATGAATGCGGTCAAAATGGATAGATTAGTAGATCGTCCCTTTAATATGTACAATCACGCAGCGATCTCAGCAGGCGGATCATATTTCCAATGGACTGTCGACAGTAAAATTAATTTAATGGTACAAACCACAGCAGCCAGTATCATAAAGAAAAACGATTATCCCAGAAACCCGTAATCAAAAGTTAACTACCAAACCAGAAAGACTACGAAATAGGAAGAACATTGACATATACGGAACCGGACTTCACAATTTGTGGTCTACCAAAACCAGTTAGTCGGCTTGCGTACGGGTTATTGTAAGCAGAGTCTAAAGAAAACACCGGCACATCCAGCTGATTGGGCCCGTTGAAGATGGGTGGCCGACTGGCACTTCCGGTCGGATTTGAGCCGTACAGCGTGGGTGTCTGCGTCTGATCTCCGGGGCGCGTCAAGGGCTTATTTACCAGCAGTCGATCGTTAGCTCCCGGCATACCGCTGTCAACAGGCCGTGACTGTTGTACAGGTTGCGGTGGTGCGGCCGTCAGAACGGGAAGCTGGGCTGGCGACCCCATGTTGGGTGTGGTTGGGCCCGGTTTTGTGTTGTCGATTATGGCGGGCCCCGGTTGTCCGTTGGCGCCGCCCGGAAAAAAGCTCGGGTTCAGAGGAGCACCCGGCTGCGGTGCGCTACTGGCCACTGAAAAGCGTAAATACAGTTATTCAGGATACCGAAGTCTGTCATGCATATGGCATACTAGGCGCCAAATGTGAAGAATCTAAATTTCAGCAATATAGAAAAACTGTAAAACAATGATATTATTTATTGAAGGCCTGCGGTGAGACGCCCGGATCGGTGGGAATCTTATCGGTAGCGTTGAAATGGTGTTCATATTGGCATGTTGCCAGCTGTAAAATGTTAATCTCCCCCAAAACTGCAGTGCTTTGTGGTTAGACGTCAGAAGAAAACGATGCCTAATTTCGAATATCAGTGGTTGTCGCATACCATAGTACTGAAACACCGAAACGATTTTCAAGATATTGTGCTCATGGACATGTACAGTCTCATGGTAATAAGCGGCTTTGAGTCGAAGTCGCAGAAATCAAACTGAAACGGTTGATTTTTAAAAAAGAAGTAATGGTCGAGTGGTACAACCGTACATAGATGGCTATGGCTGTGTTCGAGATGCAAGCGGAACTAACCTGGCACCATCGGCTGACCCATCGCATTGGAAGGAAGTGGCGCAGGTGGTTGATTTCGCTGTACCGCATCGGGAACGTTGCTCTGACGCGCGGCCATCGCTGGGTCAACTGGCGGCGGCGCCACATCAGCAGGATGTTGGCCTCCGTTGGCATCCGGAAGAGCATTATTGGGCATGCCGTTTGACGGACCAGCATCATCCAGTCCTCGAGCTCGCGGGAACACGATTATCTTCATGTTCGGAGTGCCGACAGAAGGCAGCATGCTGAGCAGCGATAACAGCGATCGACTGCCTGTCAGAGGGGAATTCATCCGTGCAGGACCGCTCAGCTGGCTCATAAGCGCTGGATCCACTGGGTCACTGGCAGGCAGAGCGATGAGGCCAGTGGAAGATTTGGGAAGTCTGTCCATAAAAAAGACGTATTCATGGCCAGAGTTGCTCGGGGAATTGCGTGGCAGCAGGAGGGAATTCAAGCTACTGGATGTTCGTTGTGATCCAGGAAACTGCTGGTATGGAAATGACCCAGGAAGTTGTTGATAGGGAGAAGAGGGATCTGCGGAACTGGCGAACAGTCCACGGGATGATCCGAAAGCGAGGTTGCGCGACGGACGAAGGACTGCCAACAAATCAGACATCACATCTCGGCGTACACGGGCATTCACACGTTCAGAAGCAGAAGACGAGTTCGCAAAAATGACACAAAGCACAAGAGACAAAGTGAAAACATCAAATAAGGACGCCATGGTTCAATAAATCCGGGAAAAGGTCGTTGATAGCAAATTCGGTAGTGCAGACAGACTATGCGATTATGGCGAGTAACTTCAGTATTAAATATTAATCGTCTTCCCACAATTTGCATGTTAGAACAAAAATTAATTAAAGCTTTCTAATTTCACTTAAGCCATTCCAGCATGGCAGTCCCCATATTGTACGATGTACGTAAATTGTAAAGAAGCAGTGCGACTGCGATATTATTATGCCTACAGTACAAAGGTATACGTACTGTACAGTCATACGGTACAAGTGCAACTGCCGCTGACAAAGTGCACTTACACGCTCTGCCTTCACTAATTCAAATGACTTTTGTTGGCTTCGGACACGGTTTAATCAGATAATTTCACCTGACGAATTCATTGAAAATTTATTTATTAAAAATTGTAACTATTACGCAGACAATGAAATCGTAAACAGGTCTGTTTATGGCGGAAGAAAATTCCCACAGTATTAAATTCAGGCTTACAAATTTAAAATATGATTATCTTTTTAAAGTTTGGACAAGATTCCGGTTCCCCTGCTCCGATGCATCTTTTTTCGAGGATTTATAATACTCGTGCGGCGGTGTGCAACGAAGTCGGTTTATTCCTGTTGTGTAAATATTATCATGTTAGGTTGACAGTAAACCAAAAAACAATGAGCAGTTCGTGGGTTCGGCCACGATCGATATTCACGTGTTGCCTCAACACGGTAGGCGAAATGATGTGCTACTTTTCCCAGGGTTGTTTGGAGGCATCAGAGAATGTTGTTCACCAATTATTCACACGCGATCCTTGTTTACAGTTTAATAATTAAACAATAGTTACAAACATGAGTCCGTACTTGGAATTCTGGAACAAAAATCAGCTGATGTGCTGTGCTGACGGTAATCGATGCCGTTACTGTAGTTTGTTTAGGGGACGAAAAAATTAAAACACTTAATGGACTAGCACAAAATATACTTAACAATAAGCAATACCAGAGACTATTGAATTATTTTGTCCTAGTCCGCAAGTTGGTCAACGTTTTTTAAAGGTACGAATCAAGTCTAGGGTCCTTTAACTTATTTGAACCGCACGCGGCAAAAGCAGGCAAATTGCTAATAAGGGCACTTAACTGGTGTGAGTATATCTATACTGCCGGCACGTTCCGAGCACGGTTGTAACTCAATTAGAGCAAACAGTTTGTGTTGGTAATATCGAGTCTTACGGTGATGATCGGATGATCATAATTGACCATAACACGCATACGAAGCCCTTTGAGTTGCCAGTAATATTTTCATCGTGCTGGATCGTGTAAACAAGCTACAACTGAGACCCTTATGTTGCACAGAAGAACAGCCACCGCAAAGGTCAGTCTAGTGTCTAGGGATCCTGGACTGGGGTACGAAGATATGGGACCATAGCTGCAGGATTGATGGCTAAAGAGCTGAGAAAATACGGCTTTACCCAAGGTAGCAGATTTATGTGTAAGCTCTAGTGCCAAGCAGGAGCGGTTCACAGGAGCCCTGCAACTACAGATAAACCACATATCCAATTTAATCCTATTGAAATGAGATCCTCAGTGGCTCAGAAGAATCACGGGTTCTACAACAGAATCTAAAAACATCCACTGATCAATACCCAAGTGGATCATCTCGTTTGTTACAGTATAGCTGCAGGAAATCAGGTTGTTTTACATCTCTTCACTGAATATTCCTGATCGCGGAAGACATACCTCATTCACCTGTCGCAGGGCTTATGTGTACAATAAGTACATGCGTGCACCTAACGTACGCGGAATTCGAGAATAAGTTGTATTTGGGATCAGATAGACCGCTGCGAGTACAGTAAGGAGTTATAAAGTTAGCTAAAAACCCATTCAGCTCTTGCAATTTGCCGAATTTCAGAATGCAGCATGGTGTGTTGCATGAGACGTCGCTGAGCGCATTTGTTGATTGTAACAACGGGAGCGTTTCCATAATGATTTGTTGCTTTTAAAAGTTTACCCGTAACTATAAAGAGATTATCAGGCGTAAAAATCTGAATTCCCAGTATTTATTAGATTACTGACCATTTCGAAAACTTTTTGCTGACAAAGGAATGAAACCACTTTTATTCAGATGCTTAAGTTTTTCCAGCAGTTTTTGATGAATGTCATAAAGCGCTATTAATTTTTTCTCATGCTTTGGGCGAGAATATTGACGCACTCCGAAATAATCACGGCAGATGATATTTAAACCGGACTAGCACAGGCGTTAATCCCGCGGATTTCCTTTTAAGCCGGGTTCTGTCATCAGCCAAAAGATTGGCCGGCTTACGTCGCGGCATCTCCAGACAGCTCGCTTATCGCAACATATACAGATATACGCGGATGCATATACTGTGTCCTGCGTGCGCGCCCTCAACAAAATCCAATTTCTGCAACCTACACTTCCGCGCCGAACATGCTTCCTGTGTGGCATGATACGATTTGCGCTGGAAATTATTCAACAAATACACCATTAGGATTTCTTCCAGGCAGTTAGTTGGCTTGGATTACTATTCCAGGACAAATGCTGGTCGATTGTGGTTAAGTGTATTCCATTATTGGGCCAAGGGAAGCCGAAATACAATATTATGGATATATGCGCGGGGATACACTAGCCGTGCTGGCTGGGCAAACGTGCAGTGCTTTCTCAAGTGGATATAACCATCGATCCAGTTAACGTAAACTGTACGGGAAAAAGGGGGAAACACGTTTACACTTGGATATATATCTGCCACGCGCGCATTAGACCACCTGATTCGCAGCCGGGCAGCAACTGCTCACGATGCAGTCGGTTGGGCAAATTTCTTTGGACAGTATCAATCCCTCTGCGATCAACTGCTCATTTTCCTGTCGACACTTTCAATTTTTGATCAAATGATTTTTCCCCTTCCAACATATGGACAGGGACATGACCGAATTCTCCACGGACCATTAGGACAGAAGAGTATTAGTAGGCCAAGACGGGAGTTGCGCCGTTGACGAGCTATAGCAACTCTGGACACTGCAGCTGTTGTACATGTTTTTATTTTTTGTACACAACTATGCAATAAACCTGATATGTGCGGTATATGCACCCGAGACATGCTTATGCTGTTGCACATCCTGTCCGACTAATTTTAAGCTGCGATAACTGGATGATTATTGACGTGTTTATGCACAAGATGTGTGAGTCGATAATATCCTGAGGACGTTAAAAGAAAGGACGAAATGAATACTACCGGAAATGACTTAAAATTGTCGCAAGAATCACTGAAACGCAGCGGATCCCTGGACGAGCTGCGGCCCGATGAGAGATCCTTTAGAGAAAAACCTGGATTACTCCGGCGCGTCTTTACTGGCTCGCGTCGTAAAAAGGGAAAAAAGTTTATAGCAAATTTACAGCTCTCACCGCTTGGTGCAGACTCCAGCTTTTTACCGAATTCATCGGAATCCCCGGGAAGGTATGTGAACTTGACGCAGCTGCTCATTGCCTTTGCAGGAGGAGTGCGTGGCTGGAAATTAGTTTCACGTCGAAAAATTTGTATACTATCAGACATTATACTCGTATTTATCGCTAAAGGCCAATTTCTGGGCGTTACGCAGTAATCATGCGTTTGCCATTGGTAAGTAGAGTTATTAAAGTGACACTGCAATTCAATTTGATAACATTACACAGAGATGGTCTGCAAATATCGAATTTACTGTAGCGATGTCATGATCACAATTGTTTGCATACTGATGCACACATTAGTGATTTGGCGTGAAATATGCTATAGGCATAAACCATACTCACATTTGTAGTTGCACACAAATAAAAAGTTAGAATACAGTTTGAAGATGTGTTGAAGATTGTTTAAAGATTTCGAGGTCATTGTGCAACTGTCTATTTACCGCTGTCAGTGCGGTGCACACTGGGACCAGCGCAAAAACATAGTACTGTAGTACAATTTTCCATCCCTGTGCGTGGTTAATAACTTAATAGCGAAACCTGAGTTGCAGCTGGCGATCATCAAGTGATATTAGACTTTTGATGTGTACGAAATATTAAAAATTTAGCAGGATCTCTCCGTTCTTTTAAATTATGTTAAATATATTATGTCGTTTACGTTACTGTGCCAGATCGGCCTGGTGCATGCACCATAATGTGCATAACCAACCGCTAAAAGCGCTCAAATTATCGTCAACAGTGTTGCAGCTAGCCTTGTACTACCGGCACTTTGTGGATCATTCGAAAATTTTGGGCGCGAATATTATGTACTCGAATTGATTTTTACGTCTGCAGTTTTGCTCCTGCTGCTCTCTCCTTGCAAGAAACGTATCGATGGGGTCATGTTTACATTGCTTTCAGGCACTTTTTCAATGTCAATATTTAATGGTCACTGTAAGTGTTAAGTTAATGGTGCAAAATTTAGACACTCGGCACGCGACACTTATTTATAATTGTGCTTTCATCCTTTTCTGGTAGCATTTACTGTCTTTTAAAACCTGCTAACAACGTGTGTGACCATTTGAACATAAATGCTGGTAACTGAATGTTTCTGGGTTTGCTGTCTGCCGAGGTGTGCAGTTCTACTGCGTGGTGTAATGCTGTAGTAAATACGGTACTTCACTAAATGAATACGTAATGACGAGGTTATTGTAATGACATGATTTATGATAATCACATGCAAGTTCAGCACGTGCATGTGATATTGAACAATTCATTAAATACAAGTAGATTTCAAAACTAACCAGTAATAAGGAAAATTTAAATCTGATTAGAAAAGCATCGAGTCGGGCATTGGTTGACCGAAAGCGCACCTCTTACGATTTTAGACAGTTTACATGCTTCCGACAGAACCATAATTTTAAATATACTGTAGTACAGATTTACAGCCTGTTAGAAGTCTTTGGTGCCTTTGCATGATCGATTCAGTTTTATTAGAGCATTCGCTTTGCTTATATAGATATATGTCCATAGATTAGAGCGTGGTTTTACGCATCACCATACTCCTCTAATGCAAACTCCTATCACTTTAGTTTTGATTTTTCTAATATCCATAAATACCCATATAAATACGAGTATTATTGATTATCAAATACATTTTCTGGATGAAATAAGTTAATGTAGAAAATAGTTAAAACAAAAACTTGTATCTCGTGGTACACAAAGTGATTTGTGCAGACCTGTTGAATTATGGATTGTATCTATGTGAAAGTTTTCTACTCACCTAGTAGATTCTGTTCCCTGGTCAGGTGCGCACCTCACGGTCAGTTCATAAACCCCGTTTTAAATTTTTTATAAATTGAAAACGTTGTACTTTTTTGTCACATGGCCTTCTGCAATGAAATTATAAGAGCAAAATTATTATAAAATTCTGTTAATATGCCATAATTAGGAATAATTGAATAATATACGACTGTATCTTACTCACATCTTACCGTACATTAACACTTCGTATGTATTGTCACCGACTGCCCGATGGTGTAACAAGCTTTAATTATGAGATTTTGTAATAAGCTTCAGTACAGCCTTGCCCAACCAAGTTGGGCAAGGCTGGTTTGAAAATATCGTGCAGGTTGGAGTAATACGAAGTTGGGAATAATATTATGAGTTGCGCACTTTCGTGAAATGAATAATTATTATGAATATATCTGTACATCGTTTTGTTTATCTTTTTTGCACTTTTCTGGTGTAATTTTCTGTTGCAAAATTTTCTAATTCTATTCTGTTTCTATTCTATCCAGTAATATTAAAATCTTAATTTCTTATTAAGTTGGTACGGACTACTAGGGAGTCAACCGGTGACTACGGAGATGAGATAATGGTCATCTTATGACCCTTTTCATTGCTCCTATAAAAAATTCACCGACCGGAGTTTTTAAGCGGACCTATTTGAAAACTGTTGAGTGGTCCATCGATACGGTAAGCAGAAGGATCTAGCGCAGTCAGTGTTTGCGGTGGTTTTGAAGTTAGATGCAACTCCCATAGACGTGGTTCAGAGGGATAGACCGTACGCAGTTTTTGAGAAGAAACAAAAGTAAACCTTTAGCTCCCGTTTCTTGACCTTCACTTTTTTGCATAAAAGCATAATTGTGACAGGTACTATTGATCAAGAACTATCAATAAAAAATTGAATAAAAAGCGTAGAAGTTAGTAGTCGAAGCAGAGGAATTAATTTCGGCTGCTGCCACAACTTGGCTGTGCAGGGCTCTAGGTTATTGGTTATCTGAAAATCGTACTATTTTGAAAGAGTTTTTTCTTCGCTCTACTGTTTACACCACATTTTATCACTACCTTTCTCCGTTTCTCGTGTATAATGTGCCAGCACCTTTGCTTCTACAAACACTACCAAGGTTCTGTTGATGAAAACTGGAAGGTGAAGTTATGGTCTTATAGATAATAATAAAAAGAATAATTATCACGAGTGCAGATTTGTAAAGATGCGCTCGTTCTGGTTTTGCTAATTTCGAAATACATATCACAAATGCAGAATATGCAAGCTAACCTAAACCAAACGGGTTTGAAGGTTAAAGCATACAGTACTGAGTACGTCATGATACGTCACTTGTAGTTGTATGCAGTCATAATGCTACTGTACTAAACTAGTAGTATACAAATTGTAGCTCTATCCATGAATTATGGGCATATCTGTTACATATGTATGGCCGTGGTCAGTATATATACCTAAATCCGCGTCGGATACTTGTTAGTTGCAACGAAAGAGATTAATAATACTTGTACTTTCATCAAGTCAGTGCTTGTGTTATTAAGACCTTTGCACAGAAGTTTATACTGTCGAAAATTTGTAAAAACTGCATTGATATGGTTCGAGATCACAAATGCTGGATAAAAACGCAAAAAACGCAGATTGTTCTTTCGTAAATATCCCTCAGCGGTCTGAATTCAATAGGAAATTCTTCACGCTCAAGCAAAAAAAATACTCCCGAGTTTGTTTTTGAGTTCTGGAGCAAATGCTAAGTACATGCACAATTGCACATACGTTTCATATACTCTGCATTCTGCACAGATTGTATAATTCTTACGTATGCATATTAAAGCCATATTTAACCAATAAAGCTAGTATAAACGTATCATTGGTCAAAGAATTACTTGCCCATTCTTCCGTCTCACAGCTGTTAAAGAACTCATTTCCGTAGCATATTTTGCGACAGATGTGCAGCGTTTAGCGACGTGCAGTACGTTCAGTAGACCACACAAAGAAGAAAGTTAATCCGAAGAATCAGAGTACCACTGTACCTAATTCCCAGCATGATGGAAAGGTAATATATAGCTCACTGGATTGGTAAAGGTTAAGAAATAGGAATGCCGCTAAATTTCTGCCGGCTCAGGATATCGCACCCCGTAGCCATTATAACTCACAGTTCACTATATATATAACGTAGGTTCACTATGTAAGAATGTAAAACACAATCTCGCATTCTGCAGTTGATTACGATCATAACCCGTTTTACCCTTGGAGTGTATTCATGTACAAATAGTTGATTTACTACTATTTTTTTAGTCCCAGCCTTTTTTTTCGCCAAAATAGCCATAGTATCGGTTTTCGGGATCTCGGTAACGAGTAACGCTTGCGATACCGCGTTAATGCACATCTGAAATTTAACTTACGCGTACCTTATTTAAGCGGGGTGATGTGATGCATACAATATGCCAGTTCTTGTAAAGGGCACCCTAGCTGTACGGTTTGGGCTGCATATTGTACACTAAAACATGCAGATGGATTCACTGCACATTCATTGATTTCTTGCTTACAATTTTTTATACCCAAGCCAAGATGAGTAAAACAATTTGCCTGCGGTCACATCATTAAACGCACGGTGCATTAGCACACTAATGCTTTGCTGCTGTATTGTAATTGATAGACGCAATCGGCAACTCGTATGATAAATCATTGCGCGAGGTACATAGTACATGAAATCGGCGTACTGGCGCGATGTAAAACCGGTTATGATCTGTTGAAAAAGTATATTGGCGGAAGCCGCGTATGCATGCATCCCCCTCCTATAATGGGACTATCCCGCCAAATCCAGCAGCCTATCAGTTTTGACGGCATGCGCGCGTGCATACAGCATATGTATTCTGTATTTGTGCAAGTGCAGGCTATCGAGTGTACCGAATGCAGTATATAATATGCTGTATTTGCCTAGCAGATTTGTGTTGTGCCGGAAATACCATTTCACAGCAAACGTGCCGACTGCGTACGGCTTATAACATAAGGATGATAATAAGTTGGTTTATTTGTAAAAATGCTTCATTTTAACAAACGAGATAGATCAAAATCCCTAACTGTGTCGCGACTTGCACTGCCGGTAGTGTTCGAAGACCAAATTTATCAGGAAGACTTCAGCTGTCAAATATTTCGCAAACGCACACAAAGGTGCAGATTTTCGATTTGGCTTAGGTTGATTACTTTTTTTCCACGTGCGGAGAAAAATATCATATTGGAAAACGATAGCACAACAACCACGGCATCTTTAGCGCCGTTAATGATTTTCCTGATTATTTCTTGCAGTTCGCCTAGCGCGGATCTCTCTATCCGGAGAGGGGTATTTAGCCGAAGGCATTACGGCTCGGTGGAGTTGGTAAGTAAAATAATCATTAAAAATGTCTGCGATGTCTTCGAAGTGATAAATGAATTAAAATATATATAATATATAGTGGCGAGTCGAATTATAATATGTGAAGCATACTCTGCAGAAATACAGTTGGTTATTTAATTCAACAGTTAAACTTAAAAGTCAATAAATAAAGCATAAGCAGTACTGGCTAATATTGCCGCTTATATCTACATATGTACTAGTACTGTACACGCTGCATAGGAATTGAACTGAACGTCGCGGTGAATTTACCTTTTGCTTGTTTCGTTTATAATTATCCATATCCGCTCAGTAATGTCTTCTTGTATTTACATCTTCGGTTGCATTTCTTTGTAAGCATTGATGACAGAAACGAGCATCGATTTACAACGACAATAACAATACTGCGCAGTAGAAGTCATACTTCTTAGGTAAGCATATTTATGGCAAACATACATTGTTATCCACGCTTATTTTAATCTGCGGTCGCTTGCTGGTTTGATTGATACCGGCATGAAAACAATGATGCCTGGCTTGACAACGGTGTTTATGTTTACTCACAACCACTTCACATCTAATCTGCCATTATTACTTTCCGGTTCGGTTTTTCGCACTACTGAACCCAATCAATGGGTTGTTGTGTAGTCGATTTCCGTACATATTACGCTAACTTTCCTAATAGCGCATTACACTGAATTGATGAAATACGTATTTGGGATAATAATATGGTGCATATTCTATGCGTGCTTTTATCGCTCTTCCCCGTTTTGGTTTTCGCCACTACACAACGATTTGATTACGTGATAAAATTTTCCACTGCACCGGCTGCATTTTCCGGTCAATATTTTAATGGGATTCACAGCTGGAGGAATAAGTTCACAAAGCGACCAAACTAACTGCAGTCAGCGCGCTTCCCTTAATCTACGTATACTATGAATAAGCGCTGTTGTCAGGTTTTGATTTGATATCCGGTGGTTAATATACTGTGCGTACCGTATTAACATTTCGTGCCCATTTAAGCGTTCACGGTCGGCCCATACTGTGTTTTACGCTGGAATATTCAAGCTTATTCAGCAGATAAAAAAGCGCAGGTGACGCAAGAAAAGCGGGTACGCCGTATAAATGATCCTTTTTGTGCTAGAGCAAAAAGAATCTATGCGCGTACATTTTTTTGTTAAAATATTGCTAGTGACTATTAATTGCGTTTCCTCACGCACACTTCCGCGTGTGCAAAGTGGTTGGGACATATTGTATCTTGCACAGCATGTTCCCAAATTATAAAACAGTAGCCGTAAACAGCTCATCAAAAATGTTTCGAAATTATTCGGTTACGCACCGCATCTTTCATGAACTGTGAGGATGAGAAGATACAAACACGCTGCATGGTTGCACTGGCAACTTTTTCAATTATATGCCCTTTCTAGCTCACACTTCTTTCTGAATTTTATGTTAAGAATGCGGATCATTTAGCCAGTCATTCGTGGAAAATTAATGTTCCTTTTTTATAAACTGCATATTTCGTATTTCATACTTTCCAATATTTCCAGTCGTGTTAATGCATTTGCTTTAGAATAGATAATACGTGCTGTAGCTAAATGTATGCAACGTACAGTTTGAGCAGAAAAAGCGACATCATCACAAAACACGAGATTTTCATATAAGGGTTTGCCCGGTGTCAAGCCGCATGAAGAGCAACTACGAAACTATAAAAAAGGGATAATTGATTGTTTTACATTTTTAGAAATCTGTTTTACAAGTTAAATGCAACATTGGTATTATCTGCTGTGCCGCTGGTGGCCAAAAAAATTATGGTTCTAGCTGGCCAGACGAGCTGACGATGTTGACGAGGGAAGCCGCTTCCGAGTGGAAAATGGAGAACGACGAGGACGTGAAACTGACTCATATCATTCCCCATCTACACCACTTTTGGAAAACCCTGAATACCAGACAAGATGGTACTTCAAATACTTCTTGGGAAGGCGTAAGTGTCGACTATAGTCCTGATTTGTTACCCTGTTTATAACCGCACTGAGAGCCGGTTTGCGGTTGGGGCACTTCTCTTTTTCTTTTGCTCCTTTTATGAATGTGACTGCACGCAAAACGCAAACATTGAATACACAATTCAAAAGCAGTCGCCAATATAAAAGGTTTACCTGCACCTGATTGTCCTATCATCTAAGTTGGGCTTCTCTCAGGCAGTAATTTATTTTGGATTTCGAACTTATTATTTTTGATGCCTGGACAAAGGTTATCGAAAATACATGTATATTGAGTGCTTAAGCATTTAGCCCAAATGAAAAGTCGTACAAAATCTGTAAGTACTGAAACTGTAAAGACTGCTCGTAGATTAGGCAGTACAGTAATAGTAACATCGTGTAATATTATGGTATATTGTAGTACTAGTAGCAGTTAAGCAGTTTGTGTAACAATTTATGCAAACAATGCGACTGGTCTCGACATTATCGGTGCAGTAGTGATGAATTACTAAATATTTATCTGTCTGCACAGCCTGAATTGGCCAATTTAACAGCAAAAATTACTCGTTATTGCAGATCACCAAAATTACATTGGAATGGATTCCGACAAAAATCCATTTGTATTATCCATTTTACTATCTGACGCAAATGATCACCAGATCCAGCAATACCGCGCAATTTTATGGCGAAGAACGGTGAGTTCGGCGACAGCTGCGCAGTGCGCATTACCAATAGATATGTGCAATGTATTAGATGTATATGTACATGTATGCCGCCACTGTCGATCACACGATGCACTACTGCAGCAATAGAAGTTAATTAGTAATTCAACACCCTAAACAGCCTACGTTTATGGCTATTTCACGCATCAAACGGGGAGCACACTTTCCAAAGGGGAATTTCACTGCTTCCCCGTCATTCTCCGAGATCAATATAATATTATGTTGGGTATATATCACTGCATTAAGGGAACGAGTAGCTTCCGGCTTGTTAGCAGTGTATGTGTGTGATGCAGTGCGCGCTGTTAGCGTACAACGCGTGTGGTTGTGCTTTGAGCGCGCGCGCGGAATACGTCTGTGCATTATTGATTGTTCTGCATGTATATAATTTTTCCCTTTACGCCTGTGAATAGGGAACGGAAAAAATCTGCTTGCCTTACAATCCCGGCAAGCCCCTGACCGTACGGAGCGTGTTGGGCTGCTTCTCGAGGATGCACAAAATTGAGAAAGGACCTAAGGAAATATTGACGCCCTCCATACTCAAAGTCAGTTTGTGTCACAATGCAAATAAGCCCCGGCTGTTTCGTGTGCTGACTGCGTGGTGGCCTCTTGAGGTTTAACGTTTGTTCCCTCGGTTTGACTACACAGGATCTGCTTGTCCTTGAGGAGCAAGAGGGATCTGTGAATTTCAAATTCGGCGTGATATACGCGATGTCCGGCCAGACAGCCGATAACGAAATGTTCAGCAATAGTAAGTCAAACCCCGGCTGTTTCCCCGTTAAATTAGCCGTACGTGACGAATTACTATTTTATGAGCTGTCGGAGAAACAAACAAATACAGCATTGTCAAATGTATCTTATCACACAAACAGCAGACCAATGTCGAATATCTCGACCTAAAAATGATATTGTTTGTGGTTAGGTTAATGTCCGCAAAGATAAAAATATTCTGAGTATTTTCAATTTTAGTATATCAACAACTTGTAGTGATACGTTTAAACGTTTAATTTAAATTTTCGCTGCACATATTATGCCGAAATATAATGATTAAAATATACAAATAATAAAATATACAATAATCTATGAAACATACAAGTGCAAATATATGTTTAATTTTCGCTTTATATATAGCGCAGACACCTAGACAAATAATAGCTGTTTGTAATGGAGCTGCTTTTTCGACATGACGTCGACCAGCTGTAAATCGGCGGCTGTATAATGAGCTAATGCGGAACTAATTAGCCGGGTGTGCTGAAGCACAAACGCCTAATCCAGAGTGTTTTACCAGAGACCGGAAGTGACACGTTCAGCAAGTTTGTCTCACTACTGGGCGACCGCGTCAAGCTGAAGTCCTGGGATCGATACCGCGGCGGACTGGATACGAAGAGTAAGAGAGGGAGAGAATGGTGTTTTGTATTCGGGGAACGGCGGACGTTAAGTAGATGATCAGGACGCTGTATGCGGCCTAATAGCCTGCAATGGCGTCCACGCGCAGTCACAGCTAACTGGCGAGATCGTTGACGGCGGGCCATTGAGGCCAGCATTCCTCATTTCCCTGGCACAATCATGATTGATTTGGCCGGCGCGGCTGCTGCTACTGCTGCTGCTGCGGCTGTCAGTGGGAGAAATGCAGCACGGCGCCCGGGAAACGGGCCCGACGTCCCGCGAATGATTAAACTGTTTTTGATCTACAATCCACTGACACATCTCATACATGTTCGTCTGATTGTCATCCGCAGGCGATACGACCGGCACCGAGTCCATTTATACTGTCTACGAAGGCCATGAGATTATGTTCCACATTTCCACGCTGCTGCCCTATTCCAGCGATAATCCCCAGCAAGTTGAACGGAAGCGCCATATTGGCAATGATATTGTTAATATCGTATTCTGGGACTGTCCGCCTGGAGAGCAGCCGACGTTCAGTCCGCAGATGGTTAAATCGCAGTTCACACGTACGTTGCTCTGACTAAGATAATCGGCAACTGGAGCCGGCCAAAGAAAAGCCATACATACCACCAATATTAATGCTCGAAAAAAAGTTTAAAGTGGATAAATCAGTTTCAAAATACTTAATTATGTTGTGGCCAAAATACAGCTTCTACGAGTATCTTATAGTTAGTGTATTTTATTACCAGCAGACGAGCTTGTAATATATTGTTTATTCATTCTGTTTGTGTAGCTGATTCAGTGAAGTTGTTCAGTTTCTTCCGAATAGCAGTGAATTTTTCAATTTTGTAGATGTTTTTGCCGTTGTCTCCTGGGATGCGGAAAATCGCGCATACCGGCTGCAAGTTTTCTCAGAGGAATCCGTTCCTTTATTTGGCCCACCGCTTCCGGTTCCCTCTCTGTTTTATGATTTCCAGGAATTTCGAGAGTTTCTCATCGTTAAGTGTAAGTTCCATTTGCCGTCGATATAGCAATTTATTATGTAAGAATCTGAGACGGTTACCGTCTGCTTGACATTTTCCAGGTATAAACGGTGAAAAGGCGGCCTTTAATACTCCCACATTTGCCCAGAAAAGGGAACGCACGCTGGACTCTTTGCTGCGTGACCTTTATGCTGAGCATATGCATGGAGACAACCGGGTAAATATTGAATTCAACAAAGCAGTTAAAAGATGAAAATAGCGTTAACGTTAATGCGGCAATAATTTCCACTGATAAACAAAGGTTACACTCTTCTGAGAGGCACTGTTGTGCGACAGAAGTGACGTGCTGTGTACAGCTATTCAGCTAATTCTAATTTAGAGGCAAACTGATAACTGTAATCGCAAGTAATTCAAAAACAGAACAACCATCAATTATTCGCTGATTTTGGAGAAAAAATTAAGTTTGCGCTAGTTATTTCAATTTGCCACGATTATCATTACCGGTAAAGTTTAGTCAACACGTACATTGAGTAAATGTAAGAAAGGGCTTCCTTCACACTCGCAGTCCCTCTGTATATGCAGATCTGATAAGTATGCCCTTATTATTGTATCGTTTGCAGGTAATGTTATCGCGACGCGCCTTCAGTGATGCGTTAGTCGAACCGTCTTTGACGAGCAAGTCTACAAATAAAAAGGAGGAAGCCCGACAAGTGGAGTTTTCTCGCATCGGGCAAGCGCTGAAGTTAGATACAATTATGAAGGGCGACGCTCCGACAAGCTTGGCTACATCCAGCTCATCGAAAAAGGAGGTATAAAAACAGCTTAGTGCCAGGCTGCCAGAACACGTCTGAATTTCCTGGAAAGCACAGTCTTTTACAAATTCCGTAGAAAAATAAATCTGAACGAAGTCGCATTTCAATTAATGAACATGTTTTTGTGTTGTTTTGTCCAGCATGTTGTAGTCTTAATTTACTAAAGAATTTTTTAGTGTTGTCGTTTGTGCTCAAACGGGCACGTTCGACTGTACTGATTACTTGTTAGTTGAAATAATTATATTGTACAATTATATACCGCACCTGTCATTCTCAGTGCACCAAACTGTATTAATTAATTTTTGTTTTATAGCCTTGGCAGCCACAATGTTTTTTCCCGGACTTCGCCTATGAGATTATTTGTGGTGACTCTTGGGGAAGCGAACGGTTAATAATTGCTACCGAGACGGCCGGAGCATTTGTCATAGAAGGTAAACTTAACGTGTGTATTGCCGGCAGATGTGCCAGGTTGCACAGAGTTCGTTTAAACAACACAAAATGAGCTTTTAATTTTATTATGCGTATTTCTAATAATTTCTAGTATGTTTTTACTAATGGTAGACTTGACTAACTTGACTTGGTAGTTGTTACACGTGCAAGAGCAGTGAACTTTTTCTAACTTATATGCAACACGAACCAGATTATTATGAAGCGCTGTATGCAGTACTGCATAATAACAGAACGTAACTCAATAAAATGAGCATTCCTGAAATATTTTTTCGACATTACTCTCGCTGTTTGTATGATAGAAAGGCCATAATGCTGAGTCAGCATTGCTGACCAACATATTATTACATCACACGCGACATCGCGCTTCTTTGAGGCATGCCATATTGTCGTACCGTATATTTGCTTGCGTGACATGCGATAGCCAATAAAATGTTCGTATTTTTTCAGAGGGAATGCTACCACATCCGATTTTCGAAAGATCAGCTATAATCCGACAGATTGCCGTCGTGGAAGGTAATATTTGGCAAACACTACAAAAACTGATGGGAGCATTTCCTGCTAGCGGAAACCGAAGTGTCTGTACATACATGTTCACTGTCGGTTATTTCTGCAGACCACGGAATCCTCATCGCCCGCATGGACAAAGGCAAAGAAAGCCGGCTGTACGTGTTCCGCTTAAAGGACTTTGAAACCGAACCCACCGCCTTTTACACGAAATCCGACTGCAAAGATCACAAACTCGAAGGCAGTAAAGGCTGCTTGTTTTTTACCCTAAATCGACCAGGAGGAAACTATCTCCGGATGGCCATCGCAATGAACCGGAAGATCATCTTAATGCAGGTGAGCCACTTCGGTCGCAACAGCCAACGCAGCGAACAATGCGGTAACGGGTGCATTTTCGCTTGTGTTTTCGTAGTGGAAGCACTCAATAGCGTACTCAGCGCTGTGTCCTCACGAGGATACCATTAACGGGTTTGTCCCGCTCCAAGAACTCAGTCTGAACGAAACGCCCGTCCTCATCTCGCTAATAGACGGAGTTAATGGCCCGGAAAACAAAGTCTGCGTGGGATACCGAAATTCTTTTGATCTTATCAATGAGAGAACGGGAGAGGTCATTAGTTTATACCAAACCGAAGCCGGAAAGGTACGCACCGTGCAGCTAGCTGTATTGATTGTTAGATGTTGTAAACAGGAAACAGAACAGTTCTCCGTAATGTCGATATATACTTATGCGCTTCAAGCATTTAGCTGAGTGACGTGTTTCTCTTTCTTATAGACCAATCTGGTAGCCGCTCTGGACGTTTGTGAGGACGACGAAAAAGAGCTTTTGCTGTGTTATCACAGTAAGAAACACAGTTGCACATATTGTGAAAGCAATAGTCAATCATGTTCTTACTTCTCGCTTCACAAAAAATCATCATTCGTAGGCTGTATTTATTATAAGGTTCCGCATATTTATTATAAGGTTATAGGCATATCCGCATATGCCACACGGTGCTCGCACTCGCAACTCATATGTACGCGGTCATCTAATATAACTTCTTAAAATAAACTTTCGATAAGCAGATTCTCAGTATATTCGCGATTAAAAAATTGTAATTTAAATCTTGATAATTTTCACAAGATAGTATTTTCGATAATAATTAACGTTTGTTACAGACACATGCCATTTCCAAAAATTGGATGGCTCTCATAACACCGAGGAATTCGATTTCCAATGGTGCTCTGTGCCTGAAAATATTGGTGAGTAGTTGTGACCTATGACAAATAAGCATTACATCGATCCACTATTTCATATTTATGCGGAGAAACGCAAATAAAGGATTATGAGATCAGACACCTTATAATACGCTTCCGAAGAATCACTACTGCAATGTATGTGTCAATACACGTGGAATAAATATCGTGTTTCCAAATTCGCAGTTTGCGCATCGCCGTATGTGATTGCCTTCAATGCAGAAGGGCTTGAAATAAGACTGCTCATCAATGGAAACCTTGTATATTCCGGAACTATGCCGGAAATGAAACTGATCACTTCAAAAACCGATATATTCTTCGCCACGACAGCTCCCGAATTCTATCCGTGGCCGACCGCTTCGGGTGGTCGCGAAGGCGCAGTGCTCATTTCCAAAGAAAATACGCCATCCGGAAGTGGACTTTCAAGCCCTAACTGTAAGCCAAAACGTCGCTTATAATCCGTAAAACTACAACTAATATAGCAGTTATCAACTAATTTTCCGTACCCAAGGCACGTCGACGTGAACCGAACAAGATTATATTGAACTGTTGTTCGGACATATGTAAAATGCACTTATATTAATTTTGTGATATACAATAATACAGTACGTACTACTTTTCCTTGAAGTATGGTAGATTTAGAAGCGTTTAAAAAATCTAAAAAATGAAAGAAAACCATACTTCAAATAGTTTTCATGTAAATGATTGTTTATAGCGCCGAATACAGCAAAAAAGCCCTTCCGAATTTACAAAGTATCGATTCGAGCGCTGACTGGCCAGTGGAAGAAGGAGCCCAACGGATCTCGCACGATGCCCGCATCCCCGAATCTTTCTCACAGAATGGCTCACCATAATGCCCCCTCTATCCAGATTCCTGATAATCTATCCGACCGTGATTCTCCGTCCCCCAGATTATACGAGAACACCCGGTTAGGTCTCCCGCGTACTAAACATCGCACTGACACCGCTAGCACCGATTCCGGTGTGCCAACGAGCTATAATTCCGTTTCCTCAACCAGTTCCCCGCCGGCGTCACCAGTCTGATATTTTTCTCACAGCTGCTGATGCTGCTGCATTTCTCAGGCCTCTTGCCGAAAACGATCTCATCGTCTAGTCAAGGATGTTTTTCCATACAAGTTTTACATGTCCTACTTCGTAAACGAAACCGGTTGACCGTAGATCTATTTAGATTTTTTTATTTTTTCGGAAAGAGATGAAACTGCTCTTTGGGATCTTTCCATAAGCTAATCCCATATAGATCTTCAATGTTCTGGTTCCTTTCGTTGAAATTATCCGGTAATCGCTCGAAAGATGTTTCACCAAAAATACCGAATATGCCACCAGTATGAATAAAGAGAGAATCCCCTTCGTAAATGTCTGCTCCGCTTTCCAGTTCGTTCATCATGCCAAGGCACGCTTTTCCAGTGTAAACCGGGTCCAAGAATATTCCCGTTTTCGATGCAATTTCTTTTATGAAGTCTATTCATTAAAAACAAGACCATTACTTACAGCGCTGATGCCACTCCAATGCAGTTCTTCAATACACAAAATATCGTGATACTGGTAGGTACAAAACGCACCACGCTCTTCCTGCGTAGACAGCCCATATCCCAGTCCTTTGTACCCATCAATAATATTGCAAATATCCTCAGCTTTGATCTTTGACGACTGCATTAAAACGTTGATCATCTGCTGCACATGATCATAAAAATAGGCGGCGTTATCGCAGACAGTTACGCCGTATATTCTACAAAACATGCAAATTATCCATACGTTTCCCGCCATCCAGAAAATTACACATCACTGCACGATAATTCGAAAGTACCTAAAAGCTGATCCAGCAAGATAGTTAGCCAGTGCCAATCCAGCGATCGTACCACCACTCCCGCATGCAACGAAAATGTTTTTGACGCTTGTTGGGCAGTCCTGAAAAAACCTGGTTAATCAGCTGACATGTTCGATTAATGTAAGTACTACGAAGTAGAGCAAGCAACGCCATACAAGAATGATCTCTTCGAAAGCCGCCAGGTAACCGAACAGCCCCACAATATCCGAACCGCCGACGGGAATGATGTACGGTTTGCAATACTGTTCCTCGCGGAGACGTGTGGCTAGCGCCTGCATGCGGGGCAGCAGGTGAGTCTTGTAAGGCTCTTTCGGCCCAACTAGATAACATTTAGCTCCGGATAAGTGATCCAGCAGAAGATTGCCCTTCAACCGCACCTCGTCCAGAGCCTTCTTTTAAAAATCACAATAACCAGTTATCATCCCACAGCCGTGAAAAGAATGCTGCAGCAATGTAGCTTGTCTAATTATTATATTGCTAACTTACCGTAAGATCCGACCTAAGAATTAAGAGGCAGCGAAGTCCAAGTTGAGCCGCCACGGCCGCCACAGTCCGACAGTGGTTGCTCTGCAATCCTCCTATAACGGGAAAATTTTAGAACTACTTTGGCAGCAATAAAATGTTTGCAGCAAAAAGCAGTTGGTCGGCAGGGAAAAGGTTCATTAAATACAATTTGTGCAAAATAAAACACGCAATAAAATTGACGATAACGAACACATACCCACCACATGTTATCACAGTATCACATTCGTGATGAAGAACGTCAGCGAAAATAAATTCCAGCTTCCGAATCTGGAGAAAATAACAACAAAGGCTGTAAGTTACAAAATGAAAGCAAGGTGAATGCAAAATACATATAACAGTGATATGCTAGTATTTCAATAAGTAATCCCACGCGTAGCTTCACGTACAAGCGCACCAGTACATCGTCAAAGTGCACACACTAAAATAATTATTTCATTCATTTCCTACCTTGTTGCCACCAAGAACGGACCCAGTTTGATCATCGCGTTTAATGAACACTCGATGCCCATTTGATGTATCAATCCAGGGATGGATCTTCGTGGCCAAACAGCCCAACTACATGCAAATTCCAACAATGCTGAGTTCCTCAAGTCAGTCAAAGATTGTTGGCATCAGCAACTCAAAACGTTTTACGAAACAGCTCAAAATCAAGAACCAAAGCCTTGTTGGGATCTCGTAAACAACGCTCTCAAGATCAGGCAACTTACGGTTATTCGTGGCCGGCCAATGGCAAGCATCGGGAAGCGATCCTTCGCTTGTTGTGGAATCCAAGAAGAAAGTTGGTGCTCCAGAACCGTTAAGTGCCGATTGGCACATGCCGCCCATCTCGACATCGTTGCATTCAATTCACTGTTTACGTATTTACACTGTAATAAAATTTAATGCTCTACGCATAAATTTAAAAAAAAACGCTAAATTCAACAGCGCAACGCAACGCAATTCTAAACGCAACAACAAGCAACAACAACAACCAATTACTGGGTAAAAATATTGCTGTACATTAATCATTAAATACGTGTACGGCTAGATTACTTATAATATTATGTACAGATAAAATTAGCATTAATTTTAAAGTTTTAGCACAATGGAATCAGTTTCGCCGGTTTTGCATCACATGGTACTACGTACAATATTCGGCTTGTGAATCATCCGGGTCTAAACTCGTACGAGTACAAACTTCCCAATATGAAGCGTTTCACTTTTCAGCATGGGCTTCAAGCGGCAAATGCAATTAATAGCTATATTTATACCTGAACACGCATACTTATTACTTACAATACTTACTTATCTTCCTATTGAATCGGGTCTAACGTTGGGCGGACGTCGTATTGGTAGCATTTGAATGATATGACACATCCCGTCAAATGCTGCGCTTGCCGTCATACTTGTTCGAGCTAAAATTTGCAGGTCCTGCGGTGCAGCCAGGCCGACGGCCTCTGAACAGACCATTGGCTCGAAATACGGTACATGAGGAAGTGATGAAAATTACTAATTTACTATGTTCTGCATTAGAAACACGATTATTTCAGTGTATTTACGGTTACTATAAAATATGAAAGATTAATGAGTATTGTATGTTGTACAGTTTATTCTAGTTTGTGTCGGCAACTGCTTGTCTGGGACTGGCGCATTCTGAGTCGTAGTTTATTGTAATCCACCAAAGTTCTTTTTTCGACAGTACAGATAGATCAAGTATCCCTGCTTAACCCTGCAAAGTGGATTCCTCAATCTGGGCTGTGAATCCGCACAATCATCGATGCTTTTCTATCCAGGATAGTGCCTAATTTCAGATAAATTTAGCGGAGGTATGACTTGATAAAACATAATTTTATTCACTGCATTTCATTAATGAAAAGCACGTTAATGTACTGTTTTGCAACAAACATGTTCGACGCAATCAAAGTAGGATAAAAAGTTTAAAAACCACATACCACAAGAACGGTTTTTAATAAAGGTATCAATCAGGTACCCAGGGGTTTACCTATTAATAATTCACAGACTTTATTTCAGTTTCCATCGTTCAACAATGGATTGGAGCTATGTAAGATATAGGAACGGGAATTTCTATGTGGCGACAAGATCTGGGTAAGTTTGATTCGTTCTGCGTATGCGCTGAGTTATAGAGCAGTGCTGTTACTGCCTGATTAGAGGATTATTTTGGGAAAGGTCACACATATGTATGTCTGTATGTATTTACTGCGACATTTTAATGATCAGGCATAAGCGTAGAAGCATGGTGTCAAACGAAATTGGTTTAATTGGTTTTTCAGGGACACAGAAATTGGTCCATTCCACTGCGAGCAAGATGCCGAAGAATTCGCTTGCACCAGACATGTTAATTTCCTGACACAATACTGGGGTTACGACCGCTTTGGCCGCAGCAATAGGGACCTGCGCGGGGTAGTTTACGTCCACGGGAGATGCTCAAACCAGCACAGCCATAGCCTTCCGCGACGCGCTTGCTACGGGCTGTAATGGGGCTGCAATAATTCTATGACCGTCAAGAACACTACCGGCAGCCTAGCTGGGAGCCGAGGTCACCCTGGTGATACTTCCAACCGGGCTGCGCTTTTCGGTGTGCTGGAGGCAGTGCGTGAGGCGACTTCTCAAGGGTTTAATTCGCTGGTTATCTGTTGCGCGAACACCTATGCGTTGAATTGTACGAAGAATGTGGTATTATCATAATACGTAATATAAAATTATTGTATTAATACGATTAATTTCACATACCGAGTTAAGCGTTATTTGTTTTTTTAATTCATGCGCGTTCAAATGTAATTTTCTTGTTTTTGCCAGTGTTACTAACAACTGAGCACGTTTAGACCTAATTTTTAAATTTAAATAAAGATATCGTTGCTGGCGTCTTGAACGTGCGACAAACTGAGAAATGGAAACTGCTTTTCTATGTCCAAATAAGTGGGCCAATATAAATTGTTTAAAATTATAATTGCATTAATGATTATGTTTTGGTACTTTCTTTTTAGGTCCTGGAAAATGGATGAAAACCTGGCAGATGAATAACTGGAAATCTAAACGAGGAAAAACTGTTAGAAACCGGGATGTTCTTTGGAAATTAAGTGCTGCCATTGATGCTTTTGGAGAACAAAATATTTTCTATGTAAGTTGAAGAATGAGGATTCCTTAAATCATTAATTTGTGTAAACGTGACGTGTGGGAGTAGGATCACACGCCGGGATGTACGTACGGATGCTGACTGTCCGCCTTCCACCTGCAAACATACGAATAATCTAGTCAATCAATGCTGTGATTTGCTGTTCTCTTTTACTAGTGGTGTAAGTGATGTCATAGCGCAGAGTCTATATAAGTTCCAGTCACTTCTAATATCGACATCAGTAGTCTGAGATTTACTTCTGAGACTGCTTTCTAATTACGATTTCCTAGTGTTGTGGACTACGAAGTGTATTAATAAAGAGGCAGCAATACTTGTTCTTACGGAAGTGCATAATCGTTCCCGGATTATCGCTTAGTATACAGGTTTGCTCGTGACACAATCGTCCTAGCTCTTGTTGATCCTCGTAGAAACTGCGACCGGAGATCGTAGTTGGACTCTTCGCTAGGGATTCCCGAGTTCTCGTGTTCCCGAGTCGTCCGTCGTTCCACCGTAGTTTATCTGTTACAGTTTGAGAGTACGAGTGCCTACCGACTGAGCATTACAGGCGTGGAAGAGTAAAGATTGTTCATGGAACCCTAATCGGTGTGAACGCTTATACACGACATGGCGCCCACCGGTGTCTTTTAATTTTCCCGATGTAACAGAAAATTATTGGTGGAAAGTTTGGTGGTAATTTACAGTAAAAGTGGTCCGTATAGGAAAGGCGTCGAACCGCAAAGGTGCGCCGAAGGAGGTCAGCGTTCCTGATCTGGCCTAGTTAATTTATTTTGGCGAGCTTCCTCGCAATCGTGAGCTTCCTCACTGGTGAGCTTCCTCGCCAATTAAATTTAAATTTAATTTAATCGGACCGTAGGGAAAAACAGTCGAAACCGCAAAGGTCGACTGTGTGAATTGAGTGGTGTTTCGTGGGTAATTTCCGGGTTGTCTGCGCAAAGCAGTAACCGCGGCGAATAAACTGTGAACTGTTGTGTCAGTGTACCTGGCCGGCAGATAAATCAGATAGTAAGCTCTGAGCCACTGTCAGTGGCCAGGTAAGATAACGATCTCCAGCAGCTCGATAAAGGCAAGCCGCAAGCGGTAGCCAAAATCAGCAGCTAGAGATAGTTGATCGTGAAAAGGTAAACACCGGCAAACGGTGATTGACCTGTGAGTTAAAATTACGGCAGCACGCAAAGTGCAGCAAAGAATTTTAAGAGTTAGTTTTGCAGCCGAACCGCAAAGGTCGGCTGTGATTGAATCTTTTCACTGAGCAGTTCAAACCTTAAAGGAGGACTGTCCAGCGAAATAGAGTTGCATAATTGTAACTTTCCAAGTTACGGTAAGCTGTAGCACAATAGTTACTGTACTTACCGTAAGAATGTCCAATCCAGAAAATAAGAACAAGGCGCTAAGCCAAGTTCCAGAAGATAAGGTTATACAAGGTCCATATGAAGGCGCGGCGACACAAACCAGGTTTAAATTCAAACCCGACGAAATACCGTTAGGTTTGATGTATTTCGCACTCAATCTAGAACCACCCAAAGGTTCCAGAGCTTATTGTGGTAAGCCGTGGGTAGATTTCCAGGAGTTGGGGAAATCGGTGGACCCAAACAAAAGGGCACCCTTTTACTACAATGGATGGTATGAGACTGAACGGTGTATTCCAGAAGACTACCTGGATATCACTGATGAACAGTTTAATGAAGCAGTTAAAAAAGCTTACAAGTGGTTACCTGAATATAAGAAAAATATGGAAGATCGTAGAAAAGCGGCCATTATTGCGCTTGAAGCAGCTGCAAAAGTTGGAATAAAACCAAAGGAGTCCGTTTCTGACGATCGACCCAAGCGTGCGGTGGCGGCAAAATCGAAAACTACCGAGAATACAGAACAAATTACTCGTAGTGAACCAAATACAGAACCGCTTAAGCTCGTAGAGCCACTTTCAGAGGAAAGCCTCTTTAACAAGGAACAACCTCTCCCAGATTTTGATATGGATGAGGATATCCGATCAGAGGATGATACGCCCATTCACATGGCGTTTGGTGAAAATGCGGATATAGCTCCGGAAGCATCTGCAAGAAAGAAAAGTATCATGGGGGGCGGGATGTCTTTTCACCCGACACAATTGAAATTACATGCGTTTGTTTCGGAAAAAGACTTCGAACAACCTGATGAGGAATTTCTGGCTAAGGCAAAGGAAGTTGATGGGCTTCTAGCCCTTACACAAACCGATCAAGATGTGGGATTAGTCGCCCGGAAGACGATGCCCGTGCTGCTCCAGGGTCTGCGGACATGGATCGCAACTACGAAATCAAAAGTAGACGAAATGGGGAACTCTATGTCCCTGGACGCTCGTGTGGATGCAGAACGTAATCTGAAATTAAAATTCCAGAATGACTTTAATGAGATGCGCATTAAATTCGAAAATGAACAAACCGAAAATGATCGTTTGGTAAATGAACTACGCATCGCCGCCGATAATTTGTCTCAGTCACGAGATGTTGGCAGAAACGCACAAAATGCTCTCAATGCTGTGAAAGATGAGCGTGACGGATTAAAAGACGCTAATCGGCATTTGGAAAAACAGTTAGAGGAAGCTCAGAGGGAGCTGTCGGCGGCGAAAGTTACCATTGACGGTTTTAAAGCACAAACGCTCCCTGATACGACGAAGCAGGTTATGGACCTAGACCAGAAATTAACGAAAGCCCAGCGGGACCTGAATGCGGAAAAAGACGCGCACAAGATGACCAATAAAAACTTAGCGGATGCGCAAAATCTGTCTCAAAAGCTTGCTAAGGATTTAGATGATGAAAAGAAGCGCGCTAAAGATAAAGAGGACACCCTGCAGCGGGACCTAACTAAAGCAAATGTACAGCTTAACAAATTGTCTACGGTTGGCCCGATGCATATTCCTAAGGAAAAGGATGAGCAGTCTCAAAAAGAAATTGAACGGCTCGAAGGATTACTGGATGCCGAAAAGGAGAATAATCGCAAGGTCCAGAAGGAACTGAGCGACATAAAAAATAATAAAAAATGCGCTAATTGTGAATCAGCAATTAAAGCGAAGAGGAACGCACAAGCTGCCGCCTTCGAGAAAGATCAAAATTGCAACCGTTTATATGAAGAAAACAAACAGCTTCGTGATGAATGGTACGAAAAACAAGATCAACTCACCAAATTGGAGGATGAATTTAAGCAAGCGTGCAATGAACATCTCCAGTTCAGAAATTCTGGTCTTGCTCTTGGAGGAGGTCAAAGACATTTTGAAAGGGAGGCGCCGGTAGCGACAGGTGATGTGTTGCGGTCCACTCCTCTTTCCTTGTTTGACCCCCAGAACTTCTCCACATCCAATGAACAGCCTTCAGCTGTTGTAACCAATCCGGCTAGTATCCTTCGGAAGCCCAGACAGGAATCACGGGTTGAATTTTCAGAAGCGCATGCAATGCCCCGTTCGTCTTCGGAAAGCCAGATTCCTAAGGAAACAGTGCCGCCTAATCAAAGGAAAAATCGGTCAACAGATTTGCGGCAAGAGATATTTAAAAGGGCGTCCGATGACGTTAGTCGCCATGTGCGCAAATCGGAAAACAGGGACGGTTCTGATATCGAAAATGATCTGATGGATGATATACTGGCCGATGACGAACACCGCCGTCCTAGTAGTACAGCCAGTAATGAATCCACTTCCAGAAGCACACAATTGGAGGAATGGTTAATCAAGCAAACGCAAATATCGGATAGGGCAGCGCTTACACAAGAATGCGTTGTCGAATTAATCTCGAAACTTGCGGACAAAGGAAACGATAAAGCCGAAGGCAGTATGAAATTACTTACCTTCGACGATTCCCATCCAGAAAAAATCCAGAAGTGGCTTATGAATGTGGAGCAATGTCGAACCACGAATAATTGGAATGATGAGGTTACTTGCCGTAGAGTAACCGGTGCTTTCACTGGAGCATCCTTTCAATGGTTTGAAAAATTCTGGAAGGACAATAAAGGAAAATCATGGTCTGATTTCTTTAAACCGGCAATTATTGAGCATTTTAATGGCTCATTGTCTAAAGCGGATATACGCAGAAAAATGAACAATCGTAAACTGGATTTTTATGAGCCAGTTCGTGCTTACCTGGATAGTTTCCTCCCATGGTTTGAGGAGCTAAAAATCTCAGGTGAAGAGCAGGTTGAAGCACTCTTGGAGGGTGTTCAGGATCACCGGCCGGCATGGTTCCGCGAGATCTACAACGCATCACCAAAGAATTATTCAGAATTTGAAAAGAAACTACAGGACTGTGAGAAACTGTGGAAACGTATGAATAAAGATAAGAAAGCGCCCGAAACTACCCAAAGGAATATACCAGCAGAACCGAGGAGTGCTGGAAATAACTCGAATTACGAAAACCGAGGCGGCCGTGGTGGCTCGTCTCAAAGAGGAAATTATTACCCAACTCGCGCGGGTCGTGGAAATTATGGGAATAATCGCGGAGGATATTCCCGTTCATACACTGAAACTGTGATCCCACAGCAGCAAAATTCTGTGGCCCCAGTGCAGCCTATCCTGAGTGTGTCCCAGCCGCAGTTCGTCCCGGTTCCGGTTTATCAACAGCCACAATTTGTTGAGCAACAACCAGTACAATTTGCGCAGACCTTTCAGCAGCCTATCCCGATGCAAGCTGCTATGCCTGTTCCTGTGCAGATGATGAATCCAATGATACCGGTAATGCAACCGCAATATCAGCAGCCAGTACAGAATCTTGATCCACAGTACCAGCAGAACGCTCCTGCGAATAATAATAATAATAATAACGGCGGCTATAATCGTGGGAATTACCGCCCAAATAATAACTACCGTGGGAATAATAATCAGCGTGGAGGCTATAATAATAATAATAATCGTCAACAATATCAGAATGGCCCAGGTCAGAATTATCGCCCGCAACAGCAGGCTGGTAATCAACCTCCGTTTGATGAGCGTAACATTTTAAAAGATAAATGGCGAACAAACCGCGGAG